ACTCAATCCAAACTTTCAATAAAATGCTCCGCTGGGCGCAGCTTGATACGACCGCAGAGGTCGAACCCTGAACAAGTGGGGCAAGTATGGACACAACATTCAAGCTTGATACAGCTCTGAATTTGGATTGTGATTAAATATTTGACACAGCATAGGTTTCTGACACAGAATGAATGTGGTCTAAGAACTTAAAAAATTTTAATTTACCTATTATGGTCCAATATCCAAAATCTAAATACATACACGGTTAGATTCAGCATATCAAAGAACCCCAATATTTCAATTTTTTTATTAAATCAAACCATATCATTACTATTTGCTTTTATATATAAATCAAAAATAACCAACTTAAAATGGAAAATTAAAGAAAAAAAAAAAAGGAAAAAAAGGAAGTAAAAAAAAGGGGGAAAAAAATCCCTCCCCCAATTTTTTTAACCCCCTTATGATTCATCACCCCCAAACTCAATCCCAGCCTTCCTTTTGTGGTATGGTACCTTGCAGTACAATTTCAGAGAGATCCATACACTTGAAAACAAGTTATTGTCTGGAAACTAGAAAAATGCTTATTTTTGGCCCATTTTTGGCCCCTTATTCCTAAAAGTTTTGGGCAATTACCCCCAAGCTCAATTGCAGCTTTCCCTTTGAGATATGGAACCTTGTAGTACACTTTCATAAAGATCCATACACTTACTCACAAGTTATTGTCATGAAACTAGAAAAATGCTTGTTTTTGCCCCTTTTTTTGGCCCCTAATTCCTAAAATTTTGAGGCAATTACCCCCAAAATCAATCCCAGCATTCCCTTTGTGATACCGGTATGGAACCTTGTGGTACAATGCAAGAGAGATCCATACACTAACACACAAGTTGTCTAGAAGTTACAAAAATGCTAACTTTTTGGCCCCTTTTTGGCCCCTAATTCAGTAACTGTTGGTACCATAACCCAAAAAAATCAATCCCAACCTTCCATTTGTGGTATTGAACCTTATGGTAAAATTCCATTCACTTAAACTTAAGTTATTGTGTGAAAACCAATGTGTCTTAGGACGATGTCACGACGACGACGCCTACGTCATACCAATAAACGACCGCAAAAGATAAATTTTTTTGCGGTCGTATAAAAACCATTGATGCTGCTGTCGTAGAAACAGCACTCTTTAAGTATGTCTCTTTATGTGCATTCTTTGAGGGGAGATAAAAACCACAAAAGACATCATAGGGAGAATAAAATGCTTCGCTGGGGCACAGCTTGATACGACCGCAGAGGTCAAACCCTGAATAGTTGGGGCAAGTATGGACACAACATTCAAGCTTGATACAGCAATGAATTTGGATTGTAATTAAATATTTGACCCAGCATAGGTTTCTGACACAGAATGAAAGTGGTCTAAGAACTTAAAATTTTTTAATTTACCTATTCAAACCATATCATTATTATTTGCTTATATATATAAATCAGAAATAACCAATTAAAAAAGGAAAAAAAAATCCCCCCCCCAAATTTTTTGAACCTCCTTATGATTTATCACCCCAAAACTCAATCCAGGCTTCCCTTTGTGGTATGGTACCTTGCAGTACAATTTCAGAGAGATCCATACACTTGAACACAAGTTATTGTCTGGTAACTAGAAAAATGCTTGATTTTTGGCCCCTTTTTGTTCCCAAATTCCTAAACGTTTAGGGCAATTACCCCAAACTCAAACCCAGCTTTCCCTTTGTGATATGGAACCTTGCAGTACAATTTCATAAAGATCCATACACTAACACAAGTTATTGTCCTGAAACAAGAAAAATGCTTGTTTTTTTGCCCTTTTATGGCCCCTAATTCCTAAAATTTTGAGGAATTACCCCCAAAATCAATCCCAGCCTTCCATTGGTGGTATGGTACCTTGCAGTACAATTTCAGAGAGATCCATACACTTGAACACAAGTTATTGTCTGGAAACTAGAAAAATGCTTATTTTTGGCCCCTTATTCCTAAACTTTTTAGGCAATTACCCCTAAACTCAATTCCAGCTTTCCCTTTGTGATATATATGGAACCTTGTAGTACAATTTCATAAAGATCCATACACTTACACACAAGTTATTGTCATGAAACTAGAAAAATGCTTGTTTTTTGTCCCTTTTTGGCCCCTAATTCCTAAAATTTGGAGGCAATTACCCCCAAAATCAATCCCAGCATTCCCTTTGTGATATGGAACCTTGTGATACAATGTCAGAGAGATCCATACACTTACACACAAGTTATTGTCATGAAACTAGAAAAATGCTTGTTTTTTGCCCCTTTTTTGCCCCCAATTCCTAAAATTTGGAGGCAATTACCCCCAAAATCAATCCCAGCATTCCCTTTGTGATTTGGAACCTTGTGGTACAATGTCAGAGAGATCCATACACTTACACACAAGTTATGTCTGGAAGTTACAAAAATGCTTATTTTTGGCCCCTAATTGCTTAACTGTTGGTACCATAACCCCCAAAATCAATCCCCACCTTCCTTTAGTGGTATTGAACCTTATGGTAAAATTTAATAGAGATCCATTCACTTAAACTAAAGTTAGAGTGCGAAAACTAATGTGTCCTCGGACGATGACGACGACACAGGTTGACGACGACGCCAACGTCAAACCAATATACGACCACAAAAATTATTTTTGCGGTCGTATAAAAAGGTCTTGAACTGTTGACAATTGTCTAAACCATATGTTTAATACATGTACAACATTTGTAAATTGTTCCAAGTCTAATAAAGTTGTGAAAATGGGAAGATCGAGCCCTTTAACATGCTTCTAGAAGTGACAAAAATCCATTTACACTGTATGAAATTTAGTAAAAATCCATACACTGTAGCCGATTACAATTAATCATAAATGAAAAATCCTGTCTTAATCCCTGATATATCATAATTGCAAAGACCATAGAATCTGTAAGTGGGTTTTTTCATGAAAGATATTTCAAAGGTCTTTTAAAACTGTCTTAATCCCTGATATATCATAATTGCAAAGACCATAGAATCTGTAAGTGGGTTTTTTCATGAAAGATATTTCAAAGGTCTTAAATTCAGAATCACATTTTTTGCCTTTCATGATTTATATGTTGTCCCTTTTTTTAACTTTCAATAAATCATAACACCTTGTAAAAGTTTCAAAGGCAGGTGTTTGTCAGAATAAACTATCATTTACAGATAAGAAGAATCACTCAAACTGTGACCATAAATTATCTATTAATTGTTTCATAGTGATATATGATATATTCACAGAAATTCTCCATATTGTCCTTATTTCTCAAAATTAAGAAATGACAGATATCATAGTTCAGTCATATTGAATCAATACAATTCCGTTTATCTTCATTTTATAAGAAAATATGCCTTCAGGAGGCAAGTAATTATATATGCACTTAATAATCTATATAGCTATCTATGGGAATTGAAGATGGTCATTTTCAATGTTTCTGTTGAAATCACTCTTCGTTCTTAATATGAACTATATTAAACTGAAATATTGATTGATTGATTGATTGGTGTTTAATGCCACTTTCAACACTATGTTGCTATTCCATGGCGGTCAGTTTTTATTGGTGGAGGAACCCAGAGTGCCCAGAGAGAACCATCAACCTTTGGTAGTTTAAACTGAAATAAGAACCCATATAAAAATAAGATGTGATATGATTGTCAATGAGACAACTCTCCACAAGAGACCAAATGACGTAGAAGTTAATGACGTAGAAGTTAACAACTATAGGTCACAATATGGCCTTCAAATATGAACAAAACCTAAACTGCATAGTAAGCTTTAAAAGACCACGAAAATGACACATGTAAGCTTTAAAAGGCCACGAAAATGACACATGTAAAACAATTCAAATGAGAAAACTAATAGCCTGATTTATGTACAAAACAATGAATGAAAAACAAAATATGCAAAACAGAAACAAACGACAATCACTGAAAAACAGGCTCCTGACTTGTGAAAGGCACATGCAGAATGTTTTCCATTATAAATAGGAAAAACAAAGTTTTCTTGTTCATGAAAGACTATTAAAATAGTGTTCAGTCTACTAAGGAATCACATACCATTGATAAATGATAATGAAACAGCAACCAAACACAAAATAAGGTATAAGGTGTCAAGCTTTAAATCAACTTGATTTAACCAGTTTATGAATAACTTCATTAACACACATTCAACATCAAAATGGACATTTCAGGGGCAACATCTCACAAATGGGTTATGCAATTTTTCTCAAAATTACAAGGTAAATTGTCTTTGATCCCTCTGATAATTTTTACCATTTCCAGTTTAATTCTAACTGCAGCAACAGAAGTCATGATTGATAATGGATAAGATCCCCTGATATACTTTTTAAACTAGATTCCCTAATTATATAAGGAACATTCAGGTAAAGTTTAGGTACATTTGGTCTAGTAGTTCCAGTGGTGTACATTATAAGTTTCATGACATTTTTTTCCCTATCTGGTCTGTTATATCATTTCCCTTATTTCAAAATGTTATATTATAAATTTTCATAACATAAAATGATCAATAGTTGTTATCACACTGAACAAAGTTCACAATGATTTTTGATTTTTGGTGTTTTAACACCAATTTTAGCACCGCTTTTGGGCTATTTCTTTTACGATGAAAATCTATGACTCTTTTCAGACAAAATCTGCAATAATAATTAATCTGAAGTGATACTGAAATATTTTTAACTTCCGTACTGTGGATTGTTAATATTGGTGGAATACCAATTTTCGTTGATTTCGTAGGTAAAGGTAAACCACAAATTCAAATGATCAACGAAGAACAAATTTTTCTATCGGTTTGTATGCAGACCTTGGTAAAACCACCAAATCAAATATCTACCAAAGTACATTTTTTCCTTCATCCACGAAATTAAATGAATCAACAGTATTTTTAACACTAGACGTCTGGCGAAAAAGATGGATGTCCCAGTTCTATTACTTAAAAGTGAATTTCATGTAACTCTGTAAATTTACCTTTGAAGATTCCTTTTTCTTGACAGGCGATGACTGTGATTTTTCCTTCTTTTTAGAATCTTTCGTACATGTAGCATCATCCCCAATGGGATGAACAGCAATTTGTTGGAATGGCATGGCTGTTTTAGATTCCACAGTTACATTATCTGAAACTGCGATCACTACATCACCACACCTATTAATAAAAGTAGAAAATGACCGCATATTCTATACGACATATAAATCGCCGGAATGAGGCATGGGTCCACACAATTTGCTATTATATGACAGAAAGACTACCAGTTTTTGCCAGTTCTTATTATAAATTCACACCTTTTTCACAATAACACTATATTTTTCTTCTTACTGATGTCACATTCCTTAGCTTGTTATAAAACATTTTCCTTCGAGACTTGTTATTGTTTTAACTTTTTCAAGAAAGCTGAGGTAATTAACACTTTGATGGACTTGTTTACACAACTTTTCATTCAGTAGTGTACCTCACACAGTGTTCTTTAAATGTTTTTAACATATATGCATACTTTGTAATCTTAGTTCTTCAAGAGGCTACTGACAATCAAAAGGAATAATTGGTCAAATATTATATTTCATGTCTGTCATATTTGTTTTTCGTAAATTGTTTTGTTGTAAATAATAGGTCATTAGTTTTTCTCAATTGAATTGTTTCATATTTTTCATGTCCGGGCTTTTATAGCTGACTATACGGTATGGGGTTTTCTCATTGTTGAAGGTCGTAGAGTTGCCTATAATTGCTTAAATCCACTTTATTTGAACTTTGGTGGATAGTTGTCTCATTGGCAATCATACCACATCTCCTTATTTTTTTATTTAAAATGCCAATTTATCTCCTTTGGATGCCTGTTTTGATACACAGACAGGTCAACACCTCCCATGGGGGAAATCTCTAATCAACTGATAGAGTTTGCAGGTCTGCATATGTGCACATATAAACATTTTTGTATACACTTTTTGTCATTTTCTTGTGTCCATTTGCATACAAAATGCCCAAGAACTCTGCACCGCTAAGAAAAAAATACCAAAATAAATGGAGAATATGTCCCCCTGGACACAGATGATACCCCAGCTTGCATACAACATTATAAAGGGACATAACTCAAGAACGATAAAAGTGACGCTACCCAAATTTGTACTTGATCTGAGTTTTGTGGTAATAAGTATTGTGTATATGAATCATAATGTTTGGTTGGGAAAAACTTAAGTTACAGAACGGAAACTAAAAATTTTGCATTGTTTTCCATTTATAAAAGGGCATAACTCGAGAATGGTGAAAGAGACCCCACCAAAATTCAAACATGATCTGTATTTTGTGGTAATAAGCATTGTGTATAAGTTTCATAACATTTGGTTGAGGCAAACTTAAGTTAGAGAACGGAAACTAAAAATTTTGCAATTTTTCCATTTATAAAGGGGCATACCTTTAGAACGGTTAAAGATACACCACCAAAATTCAAACTTGATCTGTGTTTTGTGGTAATAAGCATTGTGTATAAGTTTCATAACATTTGGTTGAGGCAAACTCAAGTTAGAGAATGGAAACCAATTTTGGGACGTACCTACATACAGACGGACAAGGGTAAAACTTAATGCCCCCTCGGCTACGGCAGAGGCATAAAAAGAATTTAACATTCTATACGGACACACTCTGTAGCATGCGACATCCACCAAATAATTTGTCATAACAATAACATCAGACCTGAAGTGGGAAAATTAGATACACAGCAATATTAAGGAAAAAGCCTATATTTCCTTTGTATACAACCAGCTATGTATGCAGACTCAGATCAGGATCTCTACCTTCAGAAGATAAACACAAACTATAAATGGTACAATGAAGATCAGCAAGATAAGTACCCCAATAGAATCTCTGCAAGTGGAATAGGATCCCAGTTACGGCAACCAGTCCGGTACCCACGAATGTAGTTCTTAAAAAAAATATAACTTTTACTTAAAATGGTGTAGTGTTATTATTACACAAGTTCGGTAACTGAATGTAGATTTATTTGAAGGGGTAGGCTTTCTAGTTTGAATTTCTGAAAAAAATTTGATTGATTTAATTGTAATCTGGCGTCAGTACATAGAGTAAATTGCCTAAATTCTAGCCTTTATTCTTCCCCGGAAGTAGACCGACTGACCCTGTTGTCAATCAAAACAATATTTTCCAACGGAATGCCGGTCATGAGGCACTGAGATTGTACTTAGAAACTCCAAAACAAATGCCTAACATGAACCAGAAGTCCCAAGGTGGCTATCAAAATTATTAATCGAATAGCACCCCATCTATTTACTATGATTTTCAATGCGTTTCAATGGGGCAAATAACTGGGTCCCCGTTCCAAGTGATATGATTTAACAACTAAATTAAACATTGTTACAGGAAAGATGGAACATTTGCAAGCTTAACGATGATGTGCAAGATCAGGAATAGTTCTACTAAAGAACCATCAGGAATTGGAATGCCTTACCAACGTAGTAACCTTAGTCCTTCAAAAGGCTACTGACAATCAAAAGAAGTAATTGGTCATATGTTTTATTTTTCACCATGTACATGTAAATATGTACAGTGGTCATACAGATCAGCAGATAAAGTTAAAGTACATATAGAAGTAAAATACACAGGGATTGAAGTTAAAATTTTGGCATGGTAGCCCACAGCTTAAATTTTGTAGCCCACATATATAGTCCTATATAAGAAAAGCAGAAATTTAAGTAGCCCACACCAAATTTGAGGGGCCCCTGCTAATTTGCTAAAAAACCCTGATACATATACAGTTTGTTACAACATTCATTGTGTTTAAATAGCAAATTCATTATTTAATTTTAAAAGATAAACATAATTAAACTGTACTCTCCAACATAATTGATTGATTTTTAGTGTTTGACACCACTTTTAGAACTATTGGCTATATCGTGACGTCCAATTCTTATTGGTGGAGGAAGCCTGAGTGCCTGGAGAGAACACTTTTAGAACTATTGGCTATATCGTGACGTCCAATTTTTATTGGTGGAGGAAGCCTGAGTGCCTGCAGAGAACACTTTTAGAACTATTGGCTATATTGTGACTTCCAATTCTTATTGGTGGAGGAAGCCTGAGTGCCTGGAGAGAACACTTTTAGAACTATTGGCTATATTGTGACGTCCAATTCTTATTGGTGGAGGAAGCCTGAGTGCCGGGAGAGAACACTTTTAGAACTATTGGCTATATTGTGACATCCAATTCTTATTGGTGGAGGAAGCCTGAGTGCCTGGAGAGAACACTTTTAGAACTATTGGCTATATTGTGACGTCCAATTCTTATTGGTGGAGGAAGCCTGAGTGCTGGGAGAGAACACTTTTAGAACTATTGGCTATATTGTGACGTCCAATTCTTATTGGTGGAGGAAGCCTGAGTGCCTGGAGAGAACACTTTTAGAACTATTGGCTATATCGTGACGTCCAATTCTTATTGGTGGAGGAAGCCTGAGTGCCCGGAGAGAACACTTTTAGAACTATTGGCTATATTGTGACGTCCAATTCTTATTGGTGGAGGAAGCCTGAGTGCCCAGAGAGAACACTTTTAGCACTATTGGCTATATCGTGACGTCCAATTCTTATTGGTGGAGGAAGCCTGAGTGCCTGGAGAGAACACTTTTAGAACTATTGGCTATATTGTGACGTCCAATTCTTATTGGTGGAGGAAGCCTGAGTGCCTGGAGAGAACACTTTTAGAACTATTGGCTATATTGTGACGTCCAATTCTTATTGGTGGAGGAAGCCTGAGTGCCTGGAGAGAACACTTTTAGAACTATTGGCTATATCGTGACGTCCAATTCTTATTGGTGGAGGAAGCCTGAGTGCCTAGAGAGAACACTTTTAGAACTATTGGCTATATCGTGACGTCCAATTTTTATTGGTGGAGGAAGCCTGAGTGCCTGGAGAGAACACTTTTAGAACTATTGGCTATATTGTGACTTCCAATTCTTATTGGTGGAGGAAGCCTGAGTGCTGGGAGAGAACACTTTTAGAACTATTGGCTATATCGTGACGTCCAATTTTTATTAGTGGAGGAAGCCTGAGTGCCTGGAGAGAACACTTTTAGAACTATTGGCTATATCGTGACTTCCAATTCTTATTGGTGGAGGAAGCCTGAGTGCCTGGAGAGAACACTTTTAGAACTATTGGCTATATCGTGACGTCCAATTCTTATTGGTGGAGGAAGCCTGAGTGACCGGAGAGAACACTTTTAGAACTATTGGCTATATTGTGACGTCCAATTCTTAATGGTGGAGGAAGCCTGAGTGACCGGAGAGAACAATTACCTTCATCAGGAAAACTGCCAATTCTATTCAATTAATTATATAGGAATGAAGTTGAAAACACCTGCCACTCATTACATCAGTGTTGACAGGCTAGTGATACAGTAGATGAACTATATGTTCATAAGACTACTCTGCCACCAAGTTCCCACCCCCTTATCTCAAACATGTACCAGACTTAAAGAGTACATTTGTACTCAATGGCTGAACTACCAATGGTATCTGTTTCCTTGATGATACTATACTTCACATTTATTTACAAACTGTTACAAACATAAAATTGCATGTTTTCCTCAAAGATTGTTGCAATTAGTTGGCAAGAATGTTTATCTCTATCAACACAATGTAAAACAGATTTCTAAAATAATTGGATTTAAGATGATTTTATCAGTTCTATAAAACTAAGCGACAATTCCCTGAGTTCTATTAAACTAAGCGACAATTCCCTGATATTTCATTTTATTTAGAGTTGCATTGGCTAAGCTAGCTAATGTGGATTCATTGATAATAAATAAATAATATATCGATAACAAGTTAAGAAAACAAATATTGGTACATTGTGTATGATACATCAAAATGAAAAGTTTTACATGTTAACATTTACTAAATTACTATACAAGGCATTATTGATTTTTATATTTATTCTTTTGCTTTTAAAGACATGTAAGAAGCAAAACCAATACTATAACTCATTTTAGTACAGCCTGAAATGGCAAAAGAAGACATAATGTCAAAAGTGGCTCCACAAAACTTTTCAGGTTGTTCCATTACATGTAGTTGGCCATATCCAAAATGTTATGTCATCTAATCATTCTAATGAAATCTGTATGAAGCTTACTCCCTTGAGTATTTAAAGAGGATT